CAGAGGGCCAGGGGTCTGCCTGCGGTCACAGAGCCGAAGGAGGGCTGGGAGAAAAGCCAGGGCTTGCTGCTCCAGGCTGGGGGCGCCGAGTTCTCAGGCTTCATGCTTTGTTCAGGTGGCCCCGTGGGTCTGGGCCTCCTGTCTCCCAGGCCACAGTCCTGTCCTCTCCCTGTCCTGGCTCGGGCTATGGGGGGGGGGGGGGGGGGGGGGGGGGGCTGCTGGGTGCCTCTCAGGGCCCAGTGGCCGGCTCTGGTCTGAGGTGACTGCCCCGCCCCCAGGACATCATCACGGCCCTGGAGGAGCGGCTGAAGCCCCTGGTGCAGGCTGAGCTGTCCGTGCTGGTGGACGTGCTGCACTGGCCTGAGCTGCTCTTCCTGGAGGGCAGCGAGGCCTACCAGCGCTGCGAGAGTGGCGGCTTCCTGTCCAAGTGCGTGTGGCCGGGCGGGGCGGGCGGGCCGCCAGCCTGGGAGGGAAGGGTGGTTGGGGGCTAGTCCTGAGCGTGCCCTCCTGCTGGCCCAGGCTGATCCAGCACACCAAGGACCTCATGGAGTCCGAGGAGAAGCTGTGCATCAAGGTGCTGCGGACCCTGCAGCAGATGCTGCTCACAAAGAGCAAGTATGGGGAGCGGGTGAGTGTCCGCCCGCCCGCTGACCGGCCAGGCCCAGGGCGGAGGGCCCGGTGGTTGAAGGCTACTTGGCTGACCAAGAGCCACGGCCCTCTGTCCACCACGCAGCCTCACTCCCGTCTCCCCACAGGGCAACCAGCTGCGCAAGATGCTGCTGCAGAACTATCTCCAGAACCGGAAGTCCAGCTCGAGGGGGGACTTGCCGGACCCCATGGGTGCCGGTCAGTACCGCCTCATCTGCTGTGCCCCAGGGTGGCCAGTGCCCAGGCTAGGTGCTCCCCCACCCCACCCCACCCCACCCCTCAAACCAGCTCCCTGCCCACTGCAGGCCCGGACCAGGACTGGTCAGCAATCGCAGCCACCCAGTGCCGGCTGGACAAGGAGGGGGCCACCAAGCTGGTGTGCGACCTCATCACCAGCACCAAGAACGAGAAGATCTTCCAGGAGAGCATTGGCCTGGCCATCCGCCTGCTGGACGGGGGCAACACCGAGATCCAGGTGGGTGTCGGGCATGCTGGCCCTCCCCTCCCTTCCCTGCCCCAGCCACGCTGCTGAGGCCACAGGGACTGGGTGGCAGGGCTGGGTGCTGGCAGCCAGTGCATGTCTTGGCCACCCCATGGCAGGCACCATCTCCCTCATCACCATCCCTGCCCCAGCCAGGCTGGAGCTCCTGCCGCTTCCCCATCCTCCTCAGCCTGGGTGCTCAAAGCAGGGCCGCTGCCTCCAGGAAGCCTTCTATCCCCATTTACTGTGTACCCCATGAAGCCGTGGAGGCACCCCATCTCAGTGGGGGCGTGTCTCCACACTGGGCAGGCGGGCCATGGGAGCACTGGCGTAGGGGCTGGAAGGAGGCAGTGGGGCAGTAGCTGCCAGGAGCGGAGTTCCCTGGGCAGAGTGGTGGCCAGGAGGGGCAAGGCGGAGCATCGAGAGTGGGTGGCTCGGGGCAGGTGAGAGGGAGCGGCCACCACGTGGCCTTGTGCTGCGGTTCCCTCTGGATGAGGCAGAGGCTATGGTAGGGTCTTGAGCTGAGAGGGGCCCCATTGGCCGCTGTGTGGGAGACACGGGTGTGCAGACACAGGGACTGGTCACCAGGCTGGAGGGCGCAGTGTCAGCCACGGCAGTTTGGCCTCCGGTCCCCCATACTCCCCTGGCCCCTCCCCTAGTCTCAAGGCACAGGGGAGGCCCTCTGTCCCCAGCCTTGGCCCTAGGGCCCAGGCCCAGTGCTAAGGCTGCCCTGCCCTCTCCCTTCCCCCAGAAATCCTTCTACAACCTGATGACCAGCGACAAGAAGTCGGAGCGCTTCTTCAAGGTGCTGCACGACCGCATGAAGCGGGCCCAGCAGGAGACCAAGTCCACCGTGACGGTCAACATGAGCGACCTGGGCAGCCAGCCCCGCGAGGACCACGAGCCAGACCCTACCACCAAAGGTCCGGCGCAAAAGCCGGAGGCAAGGGGCGCAGGGGAGGGGGTGGTGGGCAGGGGTCAGAAAGGTGCTGGGTTACAGGGGAGTTGGGGGCGTCCGCTGGGAGCCAAGGGCGAGGGTCCACCCTCACCAGACGTTGGCCCGCAGGCCGCGTGGCGTCCTTCTCCATGCCCAGCTCGCCGTCCCGCTATTCGCTGGGCCCCAGCCTGCCCCGGAGGCACGACGTGGGCGAGCGCGTGCAGAGTAACGAGATGGGCACGTCCGTGCTGATCATGCAGCCCATCCTGCGCTTCCTGCAGCTGCTGTGCGAGAACCACAACCGCGACCTGCAGGTGAGCCCCGCGCCTGGCCCCGCCCCCGACCGCACGGCCCCGCCCCCCGAGCGGTCCGAGACTCCGCCTCTCCTGCTCGCCCCAGAACTTCCTGCGCTGCCAGAACAACAAGACCAATTACAACCTGGTGTGCGAGACTCTGCAGTTCCTGGACATCATGTGCGGCAGCACCACGGGCGGCCTGGGACTGCTGGGGCTCTACATCAACGAGGACAACGTGGGCCTCGTCATCCAGACGCTGGAGACCCTCACCGAGTACTGCCAGGGCCCCTGCCACGAGAACCAGGTGAGCCCCCTGTCCTGGCGGGGGGGCCTTTGGGGCCATGTCAAGTCTTAAGGGGCCTGGGCCCTGTGTCCCCCTGTGCCAGACCTGCATCGTGACGCATGAGTCCAACGGCATCGACATCATCACCGCGCTGATTCTCAACGACATCAGCCCCCTGTGCAAGTACCGCGTCGATTTAGTGCTGCAGCTCAAGGTGGGGCCCGGGGTGTGCATACAGTGAATCGTGTGCCTGCCACAGGGTGGGGAGATGGGCACAGAGCTGGTGTGCAGGATACAATTATCAGCAAACCTGGAGAGGGTGGGGGGAACGCGGTGGGACCCTCACGCGTTGGCCACGCCCCCTCGCAGGACAACGCCTCCAAGCTGCTCCTGGCCCTGATGGAGAGCCGGCACGACAGCGAGAACGCTGAGCGCATCCTCATCAGCCTGCGGCCCCAGGAGCTGGTGAGGCTGGGCAGGCGTGGGAATCGGGGCCCGGCCCACCTTCCCGCCAAGGGAGGGCCTGTTCGAGCCTGTGCTGTCCTACCAGGTGGATGTCATCAAGAAGGCCTACCTGCAGGAGGAGGAACGGGAGAACTCAGAAGTGAGCCCACGAGAAGTGGGTCACAATATCTACATCCTGGCGCTGCAGGTACCAGGCCCTGCCGTGCCCCGGCCCAGTGACCCCGCCCCTGGGGCCACGCCCCCCTGACTCTGTGCACCCCTCCTGCGCAGCTCTCCAGGCACAACAAACAGCTGCAGCACCTGCTGAAGCCCGTGAAGCGCATCCAAGAGGAGGAGGCCGAGGGCATCTCTTCCATGGTGGGCGCCCCAAAACTTGGCAGGGCAGGGAATTGGGAGGGGTAGGACGGGGCCATGATCCGCAGGGCTGAGACTTGAGGAACCCAGCTAGCGTAGTGGTTACACATTGGGCTGCTAAATGACAGTCCAGCAGTTCGAAAGCACCAGCCTTTCCGCGAGAGAAGGACGAGGCTTTCGACTCGTGTAAAGGGTTGCGGTCTCAGAAACCCACAGGGACCGGTCTACCGCGCGTCCTACGCGTGAGAATCGACTAGATGGCGGTGGGTTTCGGAGCTTGAGCCTGGAGGAGTTGCTGCGGGTGTGGAGCTAGTTAGGGGCTGGGCCGGGCGCCATCTCAACTAGGAAGTGGGAGCCAGGTTGGGGTGGGTCTGGGCATCTTGATCAAGCCCGAAGGGGCACCTATGCAGGGCTGAGGGCGCTGGTTGCCCAGGGCCTTCTGGCCCCCAGACATTGGGACTTGGCCCAGGCTGCCTGAGCTCAGGCGGCTGGAGGTCGGATGCTAGACTGGACTGAGGGGGTCTGCTGGCCTGACCTCAGCCCCCGCCCGCCGGCCCGCAGCTCAGCCTCAACAACAAGCAGCTCTCTCAGATGCTGAAGTCTTCCGCGCCGGCGCAGGAGGAGGAGGAGGACCCCCTGGCCTACTATGAAAACCACACGTCCCAGATCGAGGTGGGCCCGGGGCTGGGGGCCGGGCTCGGTGCGCGGGGTTGCGTGGCCGCGGTGACACCCGTGTGTGCCCAGATCGTGCGGCAGGACCGCAGCATGGAGCAGATCGTGTTCCCGGTGCCCGCCATCTGCCAGTTCCTGACGGAGGAGACCAAGCACCGGCTCTTCACCACCACGGAGCAGGACGAGCAGGGCAGCAAAGTGAGCGACTTCTTCGACCAGTCCTCCTTCCTGCACAACGAGATGGAGTGGCAGCGGAAGCTTCGCAGTGAGCAGGACGCCCGGCGGGAGGGCGGGCGCGGCTCCCAGTTGCCCACCGATGCCCCCCTCCGGTGTGTGCAGGAAGCGCCAGTTGCCACCTCCCCCTCCGCCCCCAGAGGGATGCTTGCACACGTTTGTTTGGCTCACAAAGTGGAGGTGTGCGAGGGCACTGGGCAGAGGGGGTCAATAGCTGGTGACCATCCGCGCAGGCATGCCGCTGATCTACTGGTTCTCCCGCCGCATGACCCTTTGGGGGAGCATCTCCTTCAACCTGGCCGTCTTCATCAACATTATCATTGCCTTCTTCTACCCGTATGTGGAGGGCGCATCCACAGGTGAGGCTGGGGGGAGGGGCGCTGCAGGGGCGGGGCCTGGAGGCTCCAGCCCGGATGAAAGTAGAGCACGGGGCAGGCCAGGCTCTGAGGGGACCAACATGGATTGGCGAGGAGGCCCCCCTGCACTGCCCCGTGGGCTCTGCACGGATAGGGGTCCTCGTCCTCTGGGCCAGATCGAACAGGGCGTGGCCTAGTTGGAGACGCACATGCACATACACACACAAACGCGAGCACACACAGACCTGCTCACACGTTAATACTTCCTCATGCAAACACACATTCATGCACATTAATGGAAACACTCACAGGTATTGACACATTAATAAAGAGGAACCATGCTAACACACAGATCGACACACAGGAACATGCATGGCCACCACATACACACACGCTCACATACACACACCGGCACACTGGACCGTGGGACCCGGGAATGGGAGGTAGATGTGCGTGTTGCCACAGCAGCAGCTGGACAGAGATGCAGTCTGAGGGGGAGGCTGGATGCAGGGGACCGGCCCGCGCTGGGGCCTGGCTGAGCACTGACACCTGCCTGGCCCCCAGGCGTGCTGGGCTCCCCACTCATCTCCCTGCTCTTCTGGGTCCTCATCTGCTTCTCCATCGCGGCCCTGTTCACCAAGCGCTACAGTGTCCGCCCTCTCATCGTGGCCCTCCTCCTGCGCTCCATCTTCTACCTGGGCATCGGGCCTACGCTCAACATCCTGGGTGCCCTCAATGTGAGTGCTGCTGGGGAGCCCCTCACCCCCAACACCCCTGGTTCCTATACAGTTATGACACACTGCTTCCTACCAGCCCCGGCTCTGCTCTAACCATTCTACCCCTCCCCCAGGCTGGGAGTCTCAGACCAGCAGGGCCCGG